TTCATCTGGAACCAGAAGAGACCTAGAATCGCAAAGGCAATTCTAAGCAGCAAAGACAAAGCAGGAGGCATCACAATCCCTGACTTGAAATTATACTACAAAGCAACAGTAGTAAAATCAACATGGTATTGGAATCAAAACAAAACCGAAGATCAATGGAATAGATTAGAAGATACAACCACAACTACAAACACACTCAACCACCTTATCTTTGATAAAGGAGCCAAGCAGGTTCATTGGAAGAACGACAGGTCTTTAATAAATGGTGCTGGAAAAACTGGCTCTCCATTTGCCGAAAACTAAAGCTAGACCCATGTCTATCACCATGTACTAAATTAAAATCTAAATGGGTCAAAGATCTGAATATTAAAACAGAAACACTAAATCTATTGGAAGACAAATTGGGTAGAAACCTTGGAGACATAGGAGTAGGTAAAGAATTCATGAACAGGACTCAAACCGCACAGGAAATACTTCCCAGAATCAATAACTGGGACTACTTCTTATTAAAAAGTTTCTGCAGGTCAAAAGAAATCTCCAGCATAGTGAAAAGAAAACCCACAAACTGGGAAAAGATTTTAGTGAACTCTCTCTCAGACAAGGGACTCTTGTCTAAAACATATAAAGAATTAAAAAAAACTCAGGACCTCCAAAATTCAAAGATCCAATCCAAAAATGGGCATCTGAGATGAATACGCAATTCTCAGATGAAGAAATGCAAATGGCAAATAAATACATGAAAAAATGCTCATCATCATTGGTCATTAGAGAAATGCAAATTAAAACCACATTGAGATACCATCTCACTCCTGAAAGAATGGCCAGGATCAAGAAAACCAACAACAACAAATGCTGGAGAGGCTGTGGGGAAAAAAGAACTCTCCTGTACTGTTGGTGGGAGTGTAGACTGGTACAGCCTTTGTGGAGATCTGTCTGGAGATTTCTCAAAAAGTTGGGATTGGAAATCCCATTTATTCCAGCTATTCCACTTCTAGGCATATTCCCAGAAGAACTGAAAGCATCATACCACAGAGATATATGTGCACCTATGTTTATAGCAGCACAATTTGTAATCACCAGATCTTGGAAACAACCCAAGTGTCCATCCACTGAGGAATGGATAAAAAAGTTGTGGTATTTCTATACAATGGAGTATTATTCAGCTATAAAGAAGGATCACATTGAGATATTTATCAATAAATGGGCACAGCTTGAGACCATACTCATAAGTGAAATAAACCAATCTCCCATGTGTGAATACCGAATAGTTTCCCTAATGTAAGTAATGATTCAAATATATAAAAATATGTGGTAATCATGATTCCCCATTATGTGGCCTTGAAGCCTTATAAAGTTTTCACTTATTAATTGGAAAGGCTTTATTCTGGGCTTCTTGATATGGAAATATTTGAAGCTATAGTATATGAAGTTTTATTCAAATATTTCAAGGAAAAAGACAGACACTATGGTAACTACTATTAAGTCAGATTATTTGGTGATGAAGCACTAGGTTGCTGAAACAGTCATGCTTTGACCTGTATTGTTATATTGTTATGTCCTGTTTTATCTCAATCTCTCCCTTATTCTTTAAAAAAATTATTTAGTTATTTCTTGTTTGTTTTAATTAAGGGGAAAAATTTTAAAAATTAGCAGGATATATAATAGCAACTTTTTTTGATTTCCTATTAACTTGTTTTGAAGTCCTGTAATACTCCCACGATCTTGTTTTGACTGATTAGACTCTGTTCCATTCTGTATGATAGTATCAAGTTTGAGGGTAAAAGTTGTGGTATTTCTATACAATGGAGTATTATTCAGCTATAAAGAAGGATCACATTGACATATTTATCAATAAATGGGCGCAGCTTGAGACCATACTCATAAGTGAAATAAACCAATCTCTCATGTGTGAATACCGAATAGTTTCCCTAATGTAAGTAATGATTCAAATATATAAAAATATGTGGTAATCATGATTCCCTATTATGTGGCCTTGAGGCCTTATAACGTTTTCACTCATTAATTAGAAAGGCTTTATTCTGGGCTTCTTGATATGGAAATATTTGAAGCTATAGTATATGAAGTTTTATCCAAATATTTCAAGGAAAAAGACAGACACTATGGTAACTACTATTAAGTCGGGTTATTTGGTGGTGAAGTACTAGGTTGCTGAAACAGTCATGCTTTGACATATAATAGTAACTCTTTTTGATTTCCTATTAACTTGTTTTGAAGTCCTGTAATACTCCCACGATCTTGTTTTGACTGATTAGACTCTGTTCCATTCTGTATGATAGTATCAAGTTTGAGGGTATGGGCAACTACTTTGAAGGCAATAAGATTCACTAAGATGCCCATTCTGGTTTGACTGTTGTCTCCTTTGGAAGTCCTGTAATGTTTACACTGCCTAAGTTTTATTGGTCTTGTTCTCTACTGTTTTGTCCAACTTTATAATATCTAATGAGATAGACAATTCTTTTTAAGGAAACAAGAGACAACGTTGATAACCATTGTTGATAACCTTGTACTCTGTTCTACACCATGTGCTATGTCTATCCTTGGTTTTGACTGACAGCTTTGTTTTGCCATATTTGACTGTATTCTCTCCCCCCCCAAAAAAGTAATAAGAACTAAGGAGTAATAAAATCCAAAATGTGTAAATTTTGTTGTAAAAAAGAGAGGGGAAAAAAAGAGCTCTAACGGATATAACAGCAAGTGTGTTTAGGGGTGTTAAATAGCTGACTATATTAATGTTTTTGGATCATTGAACACAGCTGTTTGCAGTCTCCCTGATTGAATGTCCACTTTGTATTCTTTGATACTGTGATTTGAGCAACTATTTTCAAGATGATAATATGTAATCTATTAACATGTGATTTCTTACTGTTGTTTTTTTTTTTTTTTTGTAGTTCTGTATTACGTGTACCCTTACACCGCTTTGTTTTGTTTTGTGTTTTTCTCTTTTTCCTCTTAAATAAAATTAAAAAAAAAAAAAAAAAGATTTCCTCTTTACAACTAGGGTTTTCGTTTGTGACCAGGGAAAATGATAGCTGGTTTAACTAGTAGAAGAACAAATTAAATCAGGGTAAAAAAAATGGAGTTGGGAACTACTGTATGTCACTCTTTTTTTTTTTTTTTATCAGTACCGAGGATCGAACTCACGACCGCCTGCTTGCAAGGCAGGTGCTTATGCTGCTGAGCTAAATCCTCAGCCCCCCTGTATGTCACTTTTATCTGAGCATCTTATAGGCAGTAGGCTCCAGATTACTCAATCAACTCTAGTACCTCGGACTTAGTCCAAAATAAGTAATTTTCCTTCTAGAACTTGCTTGTCTGTCTGCCTCTGTTACTGTTTTCAAAAAGTTTTTTGAGTGTTTTGGAAGGTTTAGATTTAGAATTTTGTGTATTTCAGTTATTTTGTAGAATACTGATTTTTCCATATTTTATTATTTGGCAGAGCAGGGATGTAAGATCAGCAGATGTTCCTAAATTGTAGCTCACTAATTGTAGTTCATTAGGATTTTGAAGGGGATAGTATAAAAATCATATTTATGCCTTTACTGGCTCTTTTTATTTAAATCCATTAATAATTTTCTTTAAGAAAAAAATTTTAAGTAACCTTTTAAGTAAAAATATTTTGTGGTTCATCCATCATAAATTGCTTAGTAAAAGCTCTCTCTTCTACTTGTATAAGAAATTTTAAATAGCAAGGATGGCAAACTGAATTTACTCCTTATACAAACACTGTTCTTTTGACAGTTACCTGTATGAAAGAGTGTATGGAGACTGGGAAGATTGTATCATTTCTTCTGAGGCCCAGTGGAAGAATACTATGCTTCATTATGCATGTTTTCCAAATAGAAAAGCAACTGACCAACAAGTGTCAATAAAGGACCAATTTGCTCACTGTAGCTGTTAAAACATACTGGCTAAACCACGCAAGTATATACACCATAATTAGATATGTAAGCATGGACATTAGCATCTTGCTTAACCAAACAGATATCCTCCAATGTTACATGAATTGTTGTGGGGGACAGATTCTTTAGAAAATCTAAATAAAGTTCAATAAAATGATTAAAGACTATTACACTAGAAAATTTATGTGGAGTGAAAAAGGACTGGGCTAGAAACCAAGAGGTGTTATAGATCCAAAAATATTAGATATTATCTGCATGAAATCTGAAATCCAATACACGAAGTAAATTTTTGAAGGTCGTATTAATTTTACCAAAAGCAACCAAGTAATTTGCCTTGTTCCTTCACCCCAAATCAAGAAAGAAAGCAAGAACACCCCCCCCCCACACACACCACTGAAACTGGAAGAAGAGATAATGAGGGCTTGAAAGAGATACAGCAGACCACAGACAGGCACAAGGAGCTGCCTGTTTTCTTTCCTCTAGCTCCAGAAGTACATCAGGAGTTCATGCTTGTGAAGAGAAAATAGAAGGAAAAAAGATGATGTGTGGGGATCCGCAGTGTGAAGACTCTGCTATCCTTTACTTTCACAAAATTAAATGTGATCCGCAAACTAATAACCACCTATAACAAGCTCTGTAATACTTCAACTGTTTCACTGGCAAGACACCAATTTGCTTTCCTATGAAGCAAGTTTAATCCCATTCTAGTCCTACACAAGTCTTCATCTTTCCTTTTCCCTATTAGTCAACTTCAAATGATGTGAAACGTTCTTCTCTCCAATAAGCAAATGAACTTTCAGAGGGTTCCACAAGCACACAGGATAAAAAGAACTGTTACATAAATTTGCTTGAGAACCAAAGAGATGTTTCAAAAAAAGAAAATTCTCAGAAGCTCACTCCTTATCTCCTCCTTAAGGATTTCCTGGCATAAAAGCTATTCAGTAACTATACTGGGGCTTGTGGTATGAATTCTTCCATTTGATTAGCAGAACTGTCTTGTTGCAGGAAAGGAAAGGGGGTTATTTCCAGAAGAATAACAAGCCATCACAATATTCAGTACACATTTTCTGTCAAACCTACCTTCTCACCACTGGAGTAGAAGAAGTAACGTAATCGGACTATGTTACAGTGATCTAGCTTTCTCATGATCTGGAGCTCTCGGTTCTGAAAAGGAAGCACAGGAAAATATTTTTTAAGGATAATAGCTATTAATCATAATGGCCAAGAGGACTGTAGAATAATATTAAATACTATAAACAGCAGGATATGGGCATGCTATATAAAAGTATGATTTATAGACTAGTTTTGATCTGCATAACTGTTTCTAGTCATGAACTGTATGTTTCTGTGCAGCAGTAGGATAAATACAGAAATTAAGAATATTTAGAATCTTTAATACCAATTTAACAAAAGTTTTAAACTTGACTATAAAGATCTGTAAATCACAAAAACATTTTTTCTGTTACGAAGTTTTAAAATTAGCCTCATTCTTTTTGAAAATAAAACACTAAATACTAGATAACTGCTCAGCACAATATTATTTAGCAGCATAAAATTTCACTTATAGATGTATTTTTTCATGTATTTGTTCCAATAATATTTTAGGCTGTCAGAAATCTCAAAATATCATCTAGTGACCAAAACCCATGTTTTTAGTTGATATAATGATTCAAAGAGCTATAAAACATGAAGTATATACCTAGGATTTAGGAAAAAAAAAAAGTGTTATGGTTAGAACTAAGAGCCCCCAGCCTGCCCGGCCATGAGAATGCATGAGTCCAGGTATTTCAGAGTAAGGTGGCCTCCAGTTTTTAGATTACGGAGCAGAAGTAAGCGACTGTTCCTTTAAACTTACCTTCAGAGATAGGACTATGTATACAGAAGTATTTTAAACTGTTTTACAAAACATCAATTATTTGTTATAAAATGCGTAACTGAAGCAAAACCAGAATTACAGATACAGTCTGACTGCTTACAGATACAGTCTGACTGCTTTAATAGACATTGACTGATATCAAGACTCAAGTTTTGATTGGAAAGGAGAACAGAGAAAACACTACCAATTTCAAAACTGTCAAATTCCATTCCACTCCAAATTGAAGCTATTTCTGGAAGTATTTCTGTACTTTACTAATTCACATTTTGGTAGCTAATCTGGCAAGAAAGCTGCCAAAAAACCAAGACTCATCCCTCTAATGATATATAACTAATAAAGTTGATTGCTTTTCACATACAAAAATTATGTTAAATTGAACAATTTTTTTCAGACTCATTAGCCATGGTGACAGAGAGCTATTAAACTGCTAGAGAACAGAGGTAGTAGAAGACTGCATACCCCCTTTAGTCAAAAGATGCCCAAGAGGACCTAAATATTCAAGTACCCTTAATCTTTTGTTTATATATTCTACTCATTTAGAAAAAAAAATACTTAAATTCCTCATTTTAAAATGTCTAGGCCAGCAGATGCTATCATGCCCCTATACCACTCAACTCAGGAAGATAGTTTTACCAAGATTACTATGAAAATTAGAAATTATGCTTTCACAGGGGCTACCATCATTTACAACAGAAAGCAAAAAGTAAAATTTATGGCCAGCTGTACTGGCAGTAAAAATAGCAAATCTGACTCGGAAACCAAAGTGCAATATTTCTGCTGTTACCAAGCTGCAGTCCAGCTTGGGAAAAATGACAGAGAGGCAGGACATCCACAAAATTAAGAAGGATATCCTAGAAAAAAGGGGAAAATAAGGGCAAAGTAAACTTCCCACCCATCCCTGGCTGGCAGACAGGCTATGTACACATGCAGTTGAAACTTTAGAATCCCACAGAGAATATAAAAGCAGGGCCTACTTGAAAGCTCTCTGAATTTTGATATATCTTCTAACTCACATATAGAATAATCATTAAAAATGATGAAAACCTTAACCAAGAACTGTGTAGCCACTAACGCAGTAATGGTGAACCTGTTGTCACATGTGCCATAGACAATTGTGTATTATCACTGAGGCTCTATAAGGTTCACCATCACTGCACTAAGATGTGCGCATTGAAAGTCACAATGAGCCACGCTAAGAAATGAAACAACCAAACATTTAACACAGAATTCAAGAGCTTCTAACTGTTGTGGAGAAAGAATTTACAGATTACAACTAAACAACTCACAAAAACAATAAAATAGGCTAATGCAACTGTTTTGAGAAGACTTTTAAAAATCATAATCTAAATGACATTATGTAAAATGTTATACCAAATAATTTATGAAACATAAAAGTTGACCAATATATAAAAGTGAGAAAAAATGTAATAAACAGATATTGACTGGGTGAATTATAGCTATTGGTCCTTATAAAAGAATACAGAGTACCAAGCATTTTTAGCTCAAAGAATTAAAAGTGCAACATTTAAAATTAAAATATGATAACAATGACTCAAAAATAGGAAACATTAATGAAGAATTGTTAAGCCTTTTCTTTTTATGATGCTCAGGACTGAAACCAGGGCCATTGTTTGCACTGAGTTACATTCCTGACCCCTTTTTTAAATTTGTATTTTAATAAGTTAAATTATCATTATTCACAGATGACATGATATTCTATATAGAAGACCCCAAAAACTCCAACAGACTTCTAGACTTAATAAGCAAATTCAGCAGCACAGCTGGGTACAAAGTCAGTACTCAAAAGTCAATAGCATTCCTGTACACAAACAACAAACTCACTAAGAGAGAAATAAGGGAAACCACACCCTTCATAATAACATCCAAAAAAAAGAAATACTTAAGGAATCAATCTAACAAGGTAAAAAATTTATACACTGAAAATTGCAGTACTCTGAGAACTGAAATTGAAGAGGAATTCAGAAAATGGAAAGATATCCTTTGCTCATAGACAGAACTAACACTAAAAATGGCCATACTTTCAAAACTGTTATACAGATTTAATGCAATCTTGGTCAAAATAAACTCAGCATATCTTACAGATCTAGAGAAAGTATTTCTAAAATTCATATGTATCCCTAAGAGACCTAGAATAGAAAATGCAATCCTGGACAACAAAGGCAAGGGAGGAGGCATCACAATTTCAGATTTGACATTATACTACACAAAGCTGATATCATTTAAGCAGCACGACACTGGCAAAAAGAAGCAGACCTGAGGATCAGTGAAACAGATGAGAAGATACAGACACAACTACAAACATACTCAGCCACCTTATCTTTGACAAAGGGACCACATATGTTCACTGGAAGAAAGATAGCCTCTTTAACAAGTAGTGTTGGAAAAACTGGTTTTCTACACGCCAAAAATTAGATTCATGCCTATCGACATGCATTAAACTAAAGTCAAAATGAATCAAAACTCTAAATATTAAGATAAAAAAAACACTAAGTCTACTGTACAAAGTAGGTAGAAATCGAGACATAGTGGTAGGCCAAATAAATAAATATCAAACTGCATGAGAAGTACTTCAAAGGGATTTCGTCTTATTAAGAAGTTTTTGCACATTGAAGTAAGTCACCAACAGAATGAAAAGAAAACCCATATACTAGGAAAAGATCTTTGCCAACTGTCCTCAGATAAAGGACTTCTTTCTAGAATGTATAAAGAATTTTTTTAAAAAACCAGGCCCCCCAAAATTTAAAGATTCAATCCAAAAATGGGCATCTGAGATGAATACGCAATTCTCAGATGAAGAAATACAAATGGTTAATAAACAAAAAATGTTCAATACATTTGTCATTTGAAAATGACACTGAGTTTCCACCTCACTCTAGAAAGAATGGCTAACATCAAGAAATTAACCAATAATAATATATGCTGGAGGGGCTATGGAGAAAAAGAAACTCTTTTTCATTGCTTGTGGGAGTATAGACTAGTTCAACCACTACAGAAATCCCTATGGAGATTCCTCAAAAAATTAGGAGGTACCATTGGATCCAGCTATTTCCCTTCTGGGTATTTTTCCAGAACTGAAAACATCATACCACAGAGATAAATGTGCACTCATGTTTACAGCAGCACACTTTGTAATAGCAAAATATTGGAAATAACCCAAAAGCCCATCAACTGAAGAATGGATAAAAAAGATGAGTATTTTTATATAATGGAATACTACTCAGCCACAAAGAATGATAAACTCAAGGCTTTTATAGGTTAATGGATGCAACTTGAAATCATACTTGTAAGTGAAACAAATCAGAGTTGCATAAACACCGCACTGTCCTGCTAGCCTAAAACACTGAAAGAGTAAATAAGATCTAAAAGTAACAACAGTTATAGTAAAAGGGAAAGAAATTGCCTAAAGGGTAATTATACTGTTTGGTCAATCTTGCATGTCCATATCTAGTAGCCTGAGCAATTACTTGGAGGCTAATAATATGCAGTATAACAACCATTGTTAATTCTTCTTTTTGTTTTGAAATCCTGTATCACTGTTGTTTTTTTTTTTTGCTGTTGTTGTTATTTTGCTTTTGTTGTTAATTTTTAGTTGTTTGTTTGCTTGATTTTTCCTGTTTTTTTCTCTTTAAAAGAAAAAAAAGAGTCTCACTATGTTGCACCAGTTGCGCTTGAACTTAGAATCTTCCTGCCTCAGCCTTCCATTTTTAAAGCAAGCAAAAAGCCAGGAACTGAAAAGTATAATAACAAAACTGAAAAATTCAATATGGGCTCACGAAAATATTTCAGATAGCATAAAAAAAAATCAATGACCTTGAAAATATGGAACTAGAAATTACTCAACAGAGAGAAAACTGCAGAAAAATGGATAAAGACCCCCAAACCTGTGAGATAATATCAAATACAGTAATGTAGATATAAATGACCATACTATCAGAAAGATGGAAAAGAGAAAAAGTGTTTGGAGAAATAATGCCTAAGAATTTCTCAAATCTGATGAAAAATATCAATCTAAAAAACTTTTTAAAGCCCAGAAAGCCTACTATGGGTAACAGAGATCTACAGATAGGACCATTACATTCAAACAATCTGAAGTCAGAAGAAAAAATTGAAAGCAGCAACTTAGAAATGACCTACCAAATGAAAAAGAGAACATTCAAAAACAGAAGACCTGTTTTACAAAAAAACACTACAGTAAGTCCCTCAAGCTGAAATTAAAGATGCCAAAAACAGAATACTTCCTTCCACCTGGGGAAGGAGATCAAAAGCC